CTCTTGAGTTGCATTGCCTTCTCCTTCTGTGTATTAATAAAATCTCCTTCTGCCTCCCTTTTATACAGATACATGTAAATACATTTAGGGCCCACAGAGATAATCCAGGGTAATCTCTCATCTCAAGATCCTTAACCATATCTTAGAGAAATCCCTCCTTTTTGTTTTGCCATATCATGTAACATTTACAGGGATTAGGTTCCAGGGATTAGGACAAAGATACCTTTTGGGAGGTCATTTTTCAGCCTACCACAAAGGTTATGTGCAAAATATGGACTGCAAAAAGACTATACTCTTCTGCCTCCCCAGCATCCCTACATTTTACCTGAAAATCCAGGCGTTTCCAATTGTATTCAACTCATACCTGAAACTGGCAACTTTTCTGTTACTGTCAATGTCCCCACCAATCCCCTGGGAGTTTATCTTTACGACTCTGGAATTATCTCTAAAGTGCAGTGCTGCGTAAGTGGGTCTTACTAAGCTTTCCTTTTCGCGCCTGATTGCTTCCCTTCTGACTCTCCTGCCTTTAGCCTGTCAGACCATCCAGGAAAGCTTTCATCATTATTTGATCATGCCATCTGTGGGCTCAAGGACTCCTCATTTTTCTAACTTTCATTTCCTGTAAGCAGCAGATCCTGAGAGAAAGACCTTTACAAAGCATCATAAATATTGTCTCCAACTCTGTAGGTATGTGCCTTTATTGGTTAAGAATTGCATTCCACTATCAATAACACTTACCCAAGAATAGTGGTTTAAGGTATTTTACTTCTCTTTCAAGTAAGAAATAGACACAGTTAAGGGCTTGAATAGCAATCTCCTAAAGTTATCATGAACAAGGCTCCTTCTTTTTCTGTTTTTATGAAAAGATGAGTTCCATTCTTAAGGTTACCTCATAGGCCAAGACGGCTTCTGGATTTCCTACCAGTATATTATTTCTCTCTCTTTATATACAGATGGTCCCAGACTTAACTATGTTTCAACTTTACAATGGTGTGAAAGTGATATGCATTCAGTAGAAACCGTACTTCAGTACTGTATTCAATAAATTACATGAGATATTCAACACGCTATTATAAAATATACTTTGTGAGATGATTTTGCCCAGCTGTAGGCTAAAGTGTTCCGAGCATATTTAATGTAGGCTAGGGTAAGCTATTATGTTGGGTAGGTGTATTAAATGTATTTTTGACTTACGGTATTTTCAGCTTATGATGGGTTAATTGGGACATAACCCCACCACGTAGTGAAGCATCTATTTATATCTATATACATTTTAGACCACAGGTAAGAAAGCTCAGAAGGCCAGAAAGTGCTCTCACCCTTTCCCTTCCAAAGAGCTTTCCTAGAAACTGCACACTTCCCTTTGTATCTCACTGGCCAGAATCTAGTCACACAGCCACATTTTCTGGCTAGGAAGCAAGAAACAGTATAATTTTCCAGATGGATACATTGACCAGGGCTTTGTTACAAAGAATGAATGTATATTAAAAGCAAACTGGCAATCTTTTCCTCAATGTTCTAATATAAGGTGAGTTTTTACACCCACAATATCTGTCATGCGGCAATCTCTTAATTGCATTACTCTGAGTAACAAAGTGGTCTGTGTCTGTCTGTGTGTATGTGGTGGTGGTGGGAAATAGTGGAGAGCAGATATGTGAGTCTAAAAGAAACTCAATTCTATAATGCATACTTGCAGGGACCACTGATAGAATTGGCTAAGAATAAAAGGCAAAAGGGGAGCATAACTCCCCACTCCTTAAAAGTGCTGCTGGGCTGTGAATTGACTTCCTCCCCATGTTAGGACAGAAAGGAGGAGAAAAGAGTTTTTAAGTGGAGAAATTTGAGAAATATTATTTTGACGAGTGATCGAAGTCAACCAACAGTCAGAAATCACAGATAGTATGCAACCTTGATATGATCACTTTACCTCCGTGACCTTCCTCCCCAAAACCCATAATCCTGGTCTACTCATGAGAAAAACACCAGACTAATCCCCAAAAGGTATCTTTCAAAATACTTGAACAGCACTCCTAAAAACTGTTAATGTCATCGAAAACATCCACATCCACTGGGTTGCCTTTTTGTTGTTGAGTTTTAAGTCTTTTAATGATACCTGAGCATAAGTATCATTAAGTTTAAAAGCATAAGTTTAAAATTTTGATGCAATCCAAATCATCTAATTTTTCTTTTGTTGCTAGTGCTTTTAGTGTTGTATGTAGGAAACCATTGCCAACTCTAAACAAGATCATGAAGATTTGACCTTGTTTTCTTGTAGAATTTTAGTTTTAGCTCTTAAATTTAGGCCTTTGATACACTTTGTGTTAATTTTTAAAATGTGGTGTGAGGTAGGGATCCAACTTCATTCTTTTGCATGTGGATATTAAGTTGTCTCAGCACCATTTGTTGAAGAAACTGTTCTTTCCCCATTGAATGGGCTTGGGCACCCTTGTAGAAAAATCAACTGACCATAGGTATATTGGTTTATTTCTCGACTTTTAATTCTACTCCATTGGTCTAACCTTATGCCTGTACCACTGCTTTGATTAATGTAGCTTTGTATTAAGTTTCAAAATCAGGAAGTGATTCATCTTTTTCAAGATTTTTCTGGGGCTATTTTGTGTACCCTGCAATATCATATGAATTTTAGCATTTACGCTAGTTTTCAAAAAAAAAGGCTTTGGGGATTTTTATAGGAATTACATCAAATCTATAGATTGCTTTGAGAATTATGGCCATTTTGCCAATATTATATCTTCTAAACCATGAATACAAGATGTCTTTCTATTTACTTAGGTCTTATTTTAATTTCTTTTAGCAACATTTTATAGTTACCAGTGTTTAAGTCTTGAACCTACTTGGTTAAATTTATTTCTAGGTATTTCACTGTTTTAGATGCTATTGTAAATGGTACTGCTTTCTTAATTTTCTTTTTGGATTGTTCATTGCTAGTGTATAGAAATACAACTGATTTTTGTACATTACTTTTCTATCTGGTAACTTTGCTGAATTCTTTTATTAGCTCTAATAGATTTTTGTGAATTCTTCCTACATATAAGATCATGCCATTTATAAAAAGAGATAGTTTCATTTCTTCCTATCCAATATGGATGCTTTTTATTTTTATTGCCTAATTGTTCTAGATATTGACTGCACTTTTGAGCAAAAAATGAGAAAAAACATTTTAACGCTGCAATTTCTACATGGTTTTCAAACTCCACATAGCAATGTAGATATATCACTTTTGAAATCTGCAGAAAGTGTCTCATGAAAAGAACAGGAAGGGTTGGGCGTGGTGGGTCACACCTGTAATCCTAACACTCTGGGGAGCTGAGGAGAGAGGAGTGCTTGAGCTCAGGAGTTTGAGACCAGCCTGAGCAAGCACGAGATTCCAAACCCTACAAAAAATATAATAATTAGCCGGGCGCAGTGGCATGTGCCCATAGTCCCAGCTACTATGGAGGCTGAGGCAGGAGGATCGCTAGAGCCCTGGAGTGTGAGGTTGCAGTGAGCAATGATGGCACCACTGAACTCTATCTTGGGGCAACAAAGCAAGACCCTGTCTCCATAAAAGAAAGAAAAAAAAGAAAGAAAAAGGAAAAAAAAAGGACAGGAAGCACTTAGTCTTTGTATCTAAAGAAAATTTAACATATAAACATTCCAGTGTCAACAGCATTTAAAATTATGCACAGTAATATATGGAAGAACAGATTTTGTACTTCTTTTGCACTAAATTATCTTTAGTATGTTTTAAAATACTGAAGAAATAGAAACAAAATTGAGAAGTTTTCACCTTCAAAATTTATTATACAAGCTATACACACAAGTGAAATCCTAGTTATAAAAGATGCATCTGAAAGAATAAGTTATAATAAAATTCAACAAAAATGAGCATGTAAATGTATATCTACAGGAATATACACAAATTTAAATGTTCTCAGTGACTGGCATTGCTTTATGCATTACATAAGACAGTATCTACTAATTAAGTTATCTGATTTACTGGGTTTCGGAAGGCCTTAAATATAATATCCAGATAAATCAATAACAAAAGGCAGCTCAACTCTGAACTGCATTAGAATCCAGAATCTTATTTTGGATTATCATTCACTATGCCCTTTGAAAGGTTTTGAAGAGACGCTATTTTACAAACTAACATTGGAATGACCCCACCCAAAAGAATATGCATGGAGGTGAATGGTTTTACCTTTAAGAAAGAAATGTATTTTTGGTATCATTAATATAAAATTTATAATATTTATATAATTGTATATAAATGGTATCTATAGAATATAACCTAAACACAATTTTAGAAAGATATAAACAGTTTTCAAATATAAAAACTTTGTGCTATTAAAAAGATGTTTAACAAGGTAGTTATTATTAAAGTAAACCAAAATATATTTAAAATCTTTATTAACTCAAATTAGAATTATAAAAATGTTTATCTAAAAACACTAATTTTGATATTCAAATACAGAATTGTGGTACAGCCAAAAGTTTTTCAAGGGCCCTCCCTCAAATGACTTACATAAGCTTTTAAGTGAATGGACAAGGGAGGGCTAAAGGCAGATGAAGAGCATTCAATAAAACAAAGATGACAAAAAAGATGGCAAAGACAATGGTTAAATAAGTTTCTAGTCTGATACAATAAACTATTTTTAGGAAGGATAAAATTAAAAGTGCTTAATACAAAAAATTTTAATGTTACTAATTGCTCTTAAGTGCCATAAAATAGGAGTTATCAAAATAACTTTATTAAGAGTTGGCCAAACTTCAACTACTATTATTATAGCGCCTTGTTCAAGCAAACTTCCAACATTTATCATTATCTTACACATGTAATTTATCTTATATACGTACATAAATATCAGCAAAGTTTAAATACTTTTATTTTAGTCTTTTCCTTAAAGGAGCAGGATTTCATACTGCATCAGTTACGTGGACATGACAAAAATGAATTAAACAGGAACTGAATATAAAGAATACTTGGTACCATGACATCATGATCTGGAACAAATGAAGTTTTCTACCTCTTGCTCCATTTTCTAGATAAAAGGTAGGAAGAAAAATTATTAAATTTCAATATAGAAAAAGCTAAAGAAACATTGTGTCAATACTGTTTTTTTTTTTTTAGTCAACAACCTTAAGGATATTCATGTACATATATCTGATAATGGAAATTTAAACATTTAGCTCAGTATTTAAGACTATCACATAAACCGATTTCGCAGATGGGACATAGTTATTTAAATGCCTTTGAAATGAGTCCAAGATGCATTCATTTTATGTTAACTTCAAACAGTAATAATCAAGGTACAGGTGTACTTATAGATATTAATATTTTATACTTTGTAGGTAACAGTATTATATATATTATACTACACAGTTACCATAGTATGCTTTAGTAGGTATTTAAAATACTATATATATATTATATACTAGTGAGTATATAGTGAGTACCATTTAATATTTTGTAGTTACCAGTAATATACACATGTAGGTACCATTTAACATCTATTTTTAAAAATTAGTACTCTAATACCTAGTTTAAAGCAAGATTAAGACAAATAAGTCTATCTTAAAAGGAGCTACATATCTTGATTAACACACAAAATAAAGAATATTCATAGTTTATGTTCCACTGTTTATCAGACACGAACTAATGAAATTCTAGATTGAAAAAAATACTGAACTCACCCTTACCTAGAATTCATAATACACATATTAAAAAATGGTCTTTAAGTTCTTATAATCAGTTACCTTATATAGATTAAATAAAGCCTTACCAAGCTTATATAAGTGATATATTACGTGAAAATAAGAGCATTAGAAAGTTTCAACTCAATAGTTTACCTGAATAAGTGTTGTTTTATCATAGTCACTGCGATGCTGATAAATACACTGGCTGATTACCGCATACAAATGTTCCAATTGAAATATATTGTATTCTTGACTTTTTTTAACAACAGTCTTCAAAAGATTCTAAAAGAAAATATGAGTAAGTTTATATATGTGAGAAAGGAATTCCCTGAGACAAGATATTTGAAGGTTTGGGGAATTGTTATCATATAAGCCAGAGAGAGGGCAGACCAAGCCATTTGATGAGACATGGCAGTCACTAGCAGTGGCTCCGACATTTAAATGTAGTTAATGTTATCTGTAATCCTGGCCTTGGCCCTGCATAACTCCTGTTCTAAAAACTATTACTAAGGAGGTTGCCAATTTCAACTGTAACTCTGAGCCTCTACAAACAAATTAAAAACTAACCTCAAATTAGATTAATAGGAGAAAAAATTGCAATGTTTTTGCAGGGTATTTTATAGCAGTACATTATGATTAATTCCATTAAAAAAGATACTACATAAATGGTGAACTATCTCACAACTTCAGGATTCTTCTTATATAAAAAGGATTTTCCATCTGCTCAGTGTTTTTTCTCAAAAGTAAAATGGTGGACTCACTAGATTTATGTAATTCTTTATGTCAGGCCCTATCAGGATAGGTCATTACCTCATAATTAACAAAAACATACCATTACAGTTAAGTAAACATCAACTAAAATGGTCACAGGTAATGATCATAAAAACAATATATGGGGCCAATAATTTAGACTAGTCTGTTAAAAACTATAGATTAACATGTTAGTCATCTCCTAGTGTCTTTATGCAAATGATTCTATAGCAAGTTTATCCTCTCATAAAAGGTCATTATGTATTTATTGCATGCCTAATGGATACACTGCATTATTACACAGTTCCTCTTCTGGTGGGGAAAAAGTACTATTACCAGAAAAAGTACAAGTTCAAATAGTCTCAATAGATGGCTTTCTGTAATTGACTCTAAATGATGTATCTGTATCCTGAGCACAACAAAGTTGTAAAATTTATAAAAAATTGATTACGTAGAACAATAATTGCCACCCTTAACCCCAAACAACATAGTGAACTACACAAAGTTCCTATTTCAGTATTAGGGATACCATTTTTATGGTCATGAGATTTATAGGAGCTTATATTAATAGTTTCACACACATTTTTAAAGAGATTTTACAGAGAGATTAAAGTTTTTGGGGAAGAAACTGTTCCAGGAATATTGCTGCTTTCTGTACAGACATCAAGTTGTTATTAGCCCTGCTACATTCAAAAGAAAGGCTTTCGTGAGTCCACTGTTACTAGCAGGTTCACCTTGTACTTACGCAGAGCAGATTTCCCTCTAATATGTTAAAACTCTTATCTATATAATTTGTATCTTTGCATATAGCTCTATACATCAAACAATTTCAGCTGGGTATGGTGGCGCACACTTGTAATCCCAGCACTTTGAGGCTGAGGCAGGAGGACTGGTTGAGCCCTAGAGTTTGAGGCTATAGTGAGCTATAATCATGCCACTGTACTCCAGCCTGGGTGACAGAGCAAAAACCCTATCTCATTAAAAAAAAAAAAAAAACCAAATAAACAAACAAAAATAAACCCTCAACATTCTCAGACTTGAAATGTGGCCAAAATAAAACAGGAAAATTGGAATTAGGATGCAAATTTCTTTACTTTTGAAGTAAAAGGGCAAAAAAATCAATCTTATTTCAGATATGTTAAGGCAATTGCAATATATCCAAGTTGTTAGTTGGGATCGTAAGACTGTTGTTCAGAGGTATCAGGGTGGAGAGTTCCAGAGACAGGATCACCCTTACAGAAGTGATGGCTATTCCGAGAGTAAAAAAAAATAGAGCCAACGGTTAAGAAAAACCCTGAGGAGCTGACAAAAGAAGCTGAAGGCAAGGATGGTATAAGGACACAACAGTCAAGGAAAGAGAGTTATCAATAGTCAAATGTTATAGATATGGCCAGAGGAATTCATTTATCAAAGGCAAGTATTATTAGCTATTAGGGTGTCACTTTATTAGAGTGCTAAGGATGAAAACCCAACTGAGGGGACAGAAAGGGAGAAAGAATGAGCAACAGATAACCTGCAGCATATCAGAATCACTTACCTATTTTTCCTCTGGTTCCTACCACAGATCCTCAGATATAATTCCTAATTTGGAACAGGGGAAAGAGAAGAGCAGTAAAGGGAAGCTGGGAGGAAGAAAAAGTTTTAGTTTCTCATGTAATTCCTATGTAGCCAGACTGCCACTAGTCCATAATCCAATGTTTGGACATTACTAATCTGTTCAGTGAAAGCATTATGATTTCAATTTACATACTTTTAATCGCTCATGGTCCACAACAAGTGAGGGTGTAGGCTGAGAAAGAATTGCCAAAGCCTTTTCAACACTGATGAGCTGCTGCTGTTCTACTTGGGAACGCCTAGCTCGAGTCATTCGCAGAACACCCATTTCTAGAATGAAAAATTAAATAACTGTCATTTGGTCTACAGACATTGTAATACCTAAAATAAACAGTAGGCTGATTAAATAACAGGGCATGTTTACTAAGGACACAAACACCAATTCTGGCTTAGTAACTCTTTCTGTTATAAGATTAAGACAATACCACTCAAAAATTAAGGACAGTTAGAAAATTATTTCTTAAATTGAGTATTTCAGGGGGATCCTCAACAGGTCAGGCTGTCTTCTATTTAGGTACAAGATTTACAAAATTTTAAGATCGGAAAGGACCTCAATAATCTAGAATAAGAGTTGCAAACTACCACTCATGGGCAAAATCTGGCCTACCACTGTAAATGAAGTTTTATTAGAACATAGCCATGTCCATTTTACCTACCTTCAATGCAGTTTTCCCGGCAGGGTTGAGTAGTTGTGACAGAGACTGAGACTGTATGGCTCCTGCCCAGGCTAAAGCATTTACCACCTGGTATCTGGCCCTTTAAAGAACTTACTCATTGATAGATGAGAAAAATGAAGCCAAGAGAGGTGAAGAGACTTTTCTAAGGTCATATATCTAATTGTTGTAAGAGCCAAGACAAGAATCCAGATCTCCTGATATCTAAGTTCTACTAAATAATGTCCTTTAAAAAAAAAAGGTAATGATAAATGAAAATAAAACTGACCAAAACAAAACAAATTAAATATCCACATTAGAAAGACTATATCCTAGTCCATTATTGCTATGATTACTCAAACATACCAGAACTCATTTCAAGGAAGCCATTGTAAAAGGCTAATAACCTTCAGCATATAAACCACTAAAGAAAACCAGTCTCATTAACTAGTCTTGACCCCATTACCCATCTTTTTGCTTTGTCTGACTAAATAATGTTTGGCTTTTCCAATATCCAAACAAATCTACTGCAAAGGCTCAAGAAGATCCAAATGAAGATGATTCTAAATGGAAAATCTGGGGAGTAGGATCATTGGAGTAAATACAATTTACCTTGGACTTAACCTACTGTAAGGGATAAAAGAATGATGGGGGTAGTAGGTAAGAGTTGTTCTATATCACTCAGGAAGAATCATAGAAAGCTGCTCATCTTGCTTAAAAATAAAAGGGTATCCTACCAGTTTGTTAAAGCTGCATACCCAGGCCCTGGGCTACATTCTTTAGATAGATTATTAGATTCAATTCTCAAAATATCTCATTACCCAGCTACTATCTACCCTAATTTTGCAGATGAACAAACAGGCTGACAGGTTAAGTATCTTGCCCACGGTCACAAGCTACTAAGTCCAGGTCTGTCTGATGCCAATGTACTTTTTTCTTTTTCTGAGACAAAGTCTCACTGTGTTGCCCGGGCTAGAGTGCCGTGGCGTCAGCCTAGCTCACAGCAACCTCAAACTCCTGGGCTCAAGCGATCCTACTGCCTCAGCCTC